CATCTTAGTAGAAAATCGCTCCCTGTCGCTTAAATCTCGGCCAAAGTTAAAAAATCAAATTTTTCAGGCGGAAATTTTCAGAGGTCATGTGATATTTCCGTAAATCGACGCCTAATTAAATTTCCTGATGAATGGTAAACAGGACAACTTTCAATCTCGTCCAAGCTATAGGTGAACACCTTGCAGTTTAAAACAATATTCCTACGCCCACATTTATAGGAGGAATTTAGGATCCTATAGAATGGCTCGAGGAATTTGAACGATGTGTAACAATAAATCGATATCCCAATGAATACAAACTTCAAGTAGTTGGAGGATATCTAATGAATGAAGCTTAAACATGATATCAGCAAATTATAAATGATACCAACGAGTCTTCCAATCTTGGAGTACTGCAAATAATCGAAACTTCAAGACTATGTTTTTAACACAATTCTGAACCCAAGAAAAACTCTTACAGTAGAGAACTGACCTACAAAATCGAATGCAAACAGTAGGTAAAAGCATTGACCACTATGTTCAGGATATTAAGTGATTAATCAAAAGGATAGATTATCAGAAAAATTGGAGTGAACAAGATAAAATTTATTAGTTCATAAAAGGACTGAGAAGAGAAACTGCTTTTCAAATTCGTCCTCTCCTGTCCTTCTGATATAATACCACTTTCGAACAAGTAATTGAAGCAGCTCGCCAAATGGATAAAAATAATAAGAACTACTCTGAAGCTTTAATAAGATTCAAAGGAAACTATACAAGTCCTTTACCTATTTCTCAAAACTATTCTACACCACAAAATGATATTGAAGTCGCAGTAACAAAAGCTTTGACTCCCTTAATACAAGCTTTAGGAGGATTAGCAGTAAATACTCCAAATGTTCCGACACCCCTCCTATTTAAGGAAATAATAACAATATAAACAGATCATGGAATAGGCAACCATGTAAAAGTCCAACATGCTACAAGTGTAGACAAGTAAGACATATTGCAAGACACAACAACCATCTAATTTTCAACAACCCCTTCCAAATAATCAAAATAATAACATGTATGCTACACATTTCTTTGATCAACAACACCAGCCGCAGGAAATATATCAACCGGTAATGCAACAGGTTCCTCCACAACCACAAGTAAATTCAGTCCCTGTGAATCAACCTGCTTAATAGTAAGCTCCTCAATAAGTCCCAACTCAAATCATATTAGTAATAATGGATCAAGGAGGAGTAGGACAATCATCCCAACAATCATTTGACCATTTAAATTAGAACACGCACCTCAAGAGAGTGAGTATGTGAAGGATAATACAAACCCCTCATTTACTGGAGAAAATAATTCAAAACTTACTTAGCTGTATATTCATATTAAACAACAAAGTATGGATATTGATGGGAATAACCAAACTAGTGGTTCTGAAAAACCAAGAAACCAATCAGGATGAAATGTGAAAGTTAAACTTGATCCTGAAACACAGGATGATAAGAATAAGGAAAAGAAAAGGAAAACATCTAAAGGACCAACTGAGAAATCTCCTATTGCACAAATGACCATATCTTATTCTATTATTTCTGACCTAATGCATATTAAAGCTAGAATATCCTTTGAACAATTAATAAGCTTACTACCATTTAAAAACGTGTAAAAAAGGTAATAACTTCTCGAAGGAAACGAGCTTCCAAGGAAAAGGGAAAGAAAGAAAAGGGAGAGAAAGAAAAGGGAAAGAAAGAAAAGGGAAAAACTGAAGAAGTCAATTTGGGAGAAAGTTCTTTTCACAATGCTCCTATGATTTATAAGAGACAAGTGAAAGGATAGACCGCTAATATTATTCATGACAGTAGATCCTCTACCAATATTATCTTCTACAAATTCTTAGAGCACTTAGGATTACAAGTTATCCGAAAATCTGAACGAATGATAACTGATATTCATGGTAACAAGAAATCCAGTATTGAAATTATAGAGGATGTACCAGTTCACTTGGAAAATGTAGTTATCTCTACCAGTATAGAAGTAATCAACACCCAAGCTTATAATATAGTTATAGAAACTGATTGGTTGAAAAAAGCCTGTACAGTAATTAACTACTATGATTGTAAAGTAACTGTAAAAGATGGAAAACAAGAATCTGTTATTGTTTATCGAAATATTACCTTACCAGTTCTAACTAAGGAAGAGAACAGTGACGATAAAGATAGTGATGAAGATTCTGATGAAGAAGAAGAAGATGAAGAAGAAGTTACTCTTGGTTTAATAGTAACTGAAGAAGAAAGTTCAGATCAATATACCTATGAATTTAATGTCTGGGAAATAAAAATTGATCACGAAGATTTTATCTGACAAGAATATGACTATTTTAAATAACAATTTAATCCATGAATAGTTAACCAAAAGTGAATATACCAAACTAAACATTGGTACCAAGGTCCTGATAAATAATGTTGGTGTTATAAACAACTAGAGGAAATTAATGACAAATGCAACACATGTGAGAATGATTATTCTCGATGGGAAACTATTAAAGTTTTGCCAACTCAAGAAGCTCACCATTCCTAATTATTATTAGTAATGGGAGAAACAGATGAATTGAAAAATAATGAACATAAGGAACTTATCCAGACCCTAATTCATAAATACTCACAAGTTATAGCTCATAACATGACGCAATTGGGACAAGCTAACATAGTTACACATCACATTAATACAGGAAATACTCTTCCAATTTACACTGGTCAAAAATTGATAAAACATACACATCTCGAGTACCTGATATGTGCATGGTGTGTCCCTAATATTGGGCATATATCGGGTACCCGATAAGTATAGAAAATATTTTTTTACACTTATCGGGTATCCGATATATATATAAAATATTTTCTACACATATTGGATATCCGATATATGCCCGATATTAGGGAAACACTATGCACATATCGGATACCCGATATGTGTATGTTTTATCAATTTTTGACCAGTGCTGACAACACTATTATCAGATGTTATCTCAACACGAAGCTTTTATTAAGGAGAAAATTGAATGATTAAAATAATAAAAATTAATTATTCTATCGCATAGTCCTTGGACCTCACCTGCTTTAATAGTTGAAAAGGCCAATAGAAAATTCCATCTTGTCATAGATTATTGTCAATTGAATAAAGTTACTAAATCCAATGCTTATTCCCTATTAAAAATATCTGACATACTAGACACTCTGATTCATAGCCAATACTATTTTACCCTTGATTTAACTTCTGAGTTTCGGCAAGTAAAGATGAATACGCAGGACCAGAAAAAAACCGCTTTTAATACAAAGTTTGGAACCTATGAATTCACAGTCATGCCCTTTGAATTCATGAATATACTTGCCACATTCTAACAATTGATAAACCAAGTCTTCTATGATGTCACATGGAAGTTCGTACTAGTTTACATGGATGATATTATAATTTACTCCAAAACCCTCGCTAAACATTTTAATTACCTCAAACAAGTTTTTCAACTTCTTATCGAAGCTGAATTAAAATTGAACCCTGATAAGTGTAACTTTTTCAAGAAATAGATATTATTTCTAAGACATTTATTTTCTGGAAATGGCATTAAACCTAATCTCACTCTTGTTGATAAAATTAAAAATTATTCAGTATCAAAAATGCGATGACAAGTTAGGTCATTTTTAGGTCTCGCCTCTTATTACCGATGCTTTATTCATAATTTTTTAAAGATTGCAAAACCACTGTATAATTTGACCAAGTTAGATAGAGACTTCTGCTAGACAGAGGAAACCTAACAATCTTTTAAAATGTTAAAGGAATGCCTTATAACATCCAGAAATTTTTCAGGACGTAAATTTCCGTAACACAAATAAGACCCACAGAAATTTATGTCTAAAAATTCAATTTTTTTGACTTTGATCGCAATTTACGAGACAGGAAGCGATTTTCTACTAAGGTGTTTTTATGACAAATCAAAAGCCCTGGTTCTTGACTACAAGATGATATGTAAATTGTTCTTGTATTATTGATATCCACGGAGATATTCATGTTTAAATTTTGAATGTCCGTAAAAAATTCAGTGTAAATTTTCCGTAAATTTTTGTAATTCTGCTGGAAATTTTCATTACGTCACGATAAATTTCTGGCAGAATTACGAAAATTTACAGAAAATTTATGCCGAATTTTTCACGGATGTTCAAAATTTAAACGTGAATATCTCCACGGATATTGATGCTACAGGAATAATTTACATATCATCTTGTAGCCAAGAACCAGGGCTTTCAATCTGTCATAGAAATACCTTAGTAAAAAATTGCTTCCTGTCTCGTTAATTGTGATCAAAGTTAAAAAAATTGAATTTTTGGATGTAAATTTCCGTAGATCTCATTTATGTTACAGAAATAAATTTACACACCAAAAAATTTCCTAATGAAGCCTGCCAATTATTAAACACCCTAGTTTTACCGATCCTTTTATTCTTCATACCAATGTTTCTGACTATGCTATAGAAGTAGTACTTGCCCAGAATAATGATCAAGGAAAAGAACATGTAATTGTTTATGCTAGCCGAATCTTAAATACTACCAAACGAAATTACACTGTAACTGAAAAAGAATGTCTTGTCGTAATTTGAATAACCAAATATTTTCATTACTTTTTACAAGGATTTCAATTTTGTATTGTCACTGATCATGAAGCAATAACCTGACTCAAAAAACATAAACAATCCAAAGGAATGTTAATTCACTGGATAATTCATTTATCAGAATACAAACCATATACTATTCTAAAGAGGAAAGGCAGTGACCATACCAATGCCGACGTACTTTCAAGGCTAGAAACCACTCCGTGTATAGTCTTCTGAATTTCTTATATTAATTTAATCTTATAAATAAACACAAAATAAATTCACTCAAAATGGACTTGGAAGTGTATAATAATCTCATTAATTATTTATTATTTCATAAATATCCAAAAAATTTTATAACAAGTGACAAACAAAGATTAGCAAGGCAAGAAACACAATATTTGGTAGAACAAGGACAATTATTAAAGAAAAACAAAAACAATTTTAATAAACCGTTACGAGTAATAACTCTATAGGACAGAGAACGAATTTTATATAATCTACATGCATCCCTCTTAGGAGAACATTTTGAATTCAAAAAAATAATTGAAAAAGCTCTGGAAAGATATTATTGGCTTACAATGGAAAAGGATATTAAAGCATATATCAAATCTTGTGATAGTTGTCAGAGATTTGATAATCCCCGAAAGATACAATTGACCAAATCTATATCAGTTATTCGACCTTTCTTTCAAATAGGAATTGATTATGTTGGACCTTTGGAAACAACTGAAAATGGAAACAGATATATCATAGTGGCAACAGATTATTTCACCAAATGGCCTGAAGCATGTGTCATAAAAACAGTAACAGCTAAAGAAGTTGTTTAATTCCTTTATGAGGAAATCATTTGTTGACATGGAACCTCATCTATAATTTTGTCTGACAGAGGTGCTCATTTTGTAAATGATATAATCAAACTTTTAAAGGAGGAAATAAGATTTCAACACAAACTGGTATCATCTTACTATCCTCAAACAAATGGATTAACAGAAAAATTCAATGGAACCTTGTGTAGATCTATTGCAAAATGCTTATAAACCGGTCAATCTAATTGGGCTCATTTAATATCTTCAGTACTCTTTGTTTATCATACCTTGAAGTATGAATCAACAAAATATACTCCTTTTTATTTAGTACATGGAAGAGAAGCACAACTTCCTATTGACATTGAGTTTAATGATAAGGAAAATCATTCTGTTTTAATTTATGAGGAGGCTTTGGAACGAATGATCAGTTCTTTAATAGGAACCTTCATTAATGCACTTATAATCTCCTTAAGAAATGTAACAAGTACACAAGAGTTACAAAAGAAAAGACAAAAACATTTGGCTAAAGCCCATGAGTATCATGAAAATGATATTGTATTATTATATGATTCTGCTAAAAGACAAGTACATGGACAAAAGTTTAATCCTAAATGGACAGGACCATTTTGGATAGAAAAGAAGTTAGGTAATAAGGTTTACCTGATAAGAGATAAAATTGATAATACATTATCTAATCCTGTTTATGCAGAAAGATTAAAACATTATAAACAAAGGAATCTTGTAGAACCTTGTATAATAATCACCCCAATTTAGTCAAAGTTTAATTAAACATCTGAACACAAAATTTATTATATAAAGGATCTTATTTTTCTCAAGTTCTGAAAATTTTTACAAATCATGAAACTTCAACTTTCAGAAATTCAACGTGCTAGATTATTAGAACTTTACCAAAGTTTATAATTAGATTACACTTCTGTTAATATACAAATGATCTCTACACGAATTATTATACAAAGTAATTCTCAACAAACCTCTCTAACAATTCCTACTCACTATCGACAAACACAATCTCAAAATTTTAATATATATATTTATGATGCATGTAATGCTGAAGTCAACCTTGATCTCGAATTATATAATAAAGAAAATATTTTATCTCTTGTAAATGTTGCCATTGATATTGCAAAAACAAATAGACAACGACTCTTTGTATACTCGAAATCCTGGTCATTATTATCAAAAGATCTTATTGAGCGACAATTAATTATGAAACAACTGAGACAAAAAGTTCAACAAATAACCAGTCAAAATAGTGCTTGATTCTTAACTGTTGCAAATAGAGTGCAGAGATTATTATTTGTGCTTGGAGAATTTCCAAATTCTTAATTTAGATATATTATCCCTAATTGATTATATCATTTAACTAGTATAGACTTTGATTATTTTATTTGAAAATGTAGGGAACAACTTTCTCAAAATATAGAGTATTTCGCAGGAGCTCAATACTAAAGAGGAAATGTTGTAGAATATTAATTTTTATTTATTTTATTATATTATTATTTAATGTATTTATTATTTATTCGTAATTTATGTTAATCGAAGATTATGTTGTAGAATATTAATTTTATTTATTTTATTATATTATTATTTAATGTATTTATTATTTATTTGTAATTTATGT